CACACACACTCTCAAACACACACACACACACACACACACACACACACACACACACACACACACACACACACACACAAACTCTCTCAAACACAGGCACACGCACACGCACGCACGCACGCACGCACACACACACACACACACACACACACACACACAGGCGAACTCGGCTCAGGTCACTTGGAAACACACTCTCTCTCACAAACACAGAGTGGCAGTTTCCCCAGTAATGGCGGTGCCTCCCTTGGACTCATTCACCGAGGGGTCATGGGTTCAAGTCCCAAGTGGGGGAGGGGGCGCAAGCCAGTGGAAGAGTGAGAGAAGGAGGAGGGGAAGGGAGGGGGGGACTGCCACTCTCTTGCCCCCCAAACTAACCACCCACCCACCCCATGTCTCTGTGTCTCCCTTTCCCCTCCCCCCTTTTTATTTACCTCACAGTGCAGCCACCATAGTCTGTCTTCTCTTCAGACACACATGCATTCACACGGAACCATGCAGGCAGTAACACACACACACACACACACACACACACACACACACACACACACACACACACACACACACACACACACACACACACACACACACACACACACACACACACACACACACACACACACACACACACACACACACACAGTGAGGGGTCAGTGGTGTTAAAGGGTTTTTCTTTCTGCTGTTACCTGGACATCACTGTCTGTGCAATATATATGATAACGTTAGATTGCACAATAATATTATTACTAAATAGTTATTTAAGTTGAGTACTCAGCTCTGCCTTTCTGCTGCTAAAATATTAATATTCTTTTATTGAACAAGACAAACCAAACAAGACAAACTGACAACAAAAGAGTAATAGTTAAATTTGAAAGTGCAGTTTGCTACGTATTCTCTCAATTTACAGCTACATGATGCATGAAAAAACAACCTAGCCTATGTGTGATGACGAATATGCACGATTATGCTCCATTTGTGCAATACACCCAGCACACAAAGCGTGCACGTGTGGTTTGAGGACACATTGTTTGAATGTGTGTGTCACCACCATGTCACACTGTGTGTTAGCTGAGGGCAAATGTGTCACATTTGATCCCCGCAGCAGCAGCTGGGAATATGAGCTAAACTGCCCGCACGAATGAATGTGTACTGTTGTTTAGATGTTAACTAAACAGACCTGGATTTTATTAAAGCAGCTGACAGATTTAAACTGATGCTCCCCGGGATCCAGTGGAAAAGGAGAGATTTAATTTGACAACAGAAGTTTAGGAGTTGAGGGTAGCACAAAATATGCTTCCAAAAAAAAAAAAATGGAAAGAAAGTGCCAGAGAGCTCTGGTTATGCTGCTTCAAGGTGTTTGTATTTATATATAAATACAAAAACAAATACAATAGTGTAATTATTGTGGATTGGTAGGCAAATAACATAGAAAATATCAAATTAGGTCACAAAAATATGGAGCTGAAAACACACGTGTGCGCGCGCACACACACACACACACACACACACACACACACACACACACACACACACACACACACACACACACACACACACACACACACACACACACACACACACATACACATACACATACACACACACACACAGCCTCTCATAGGAAACAAGAGTGGCTGACCTTTGACCTTTACCATTCAGCCTGTCTGGAAAATACCAAGCCTGGAATCGATCAACACTCCTCTCTCCCAGACAGCACCCCCCCCAACTCAGACCTCCCCCCCCACCACCTCCATCATCACACAATCCACCCGGCAGCAGTTAAGCCCTTAGCTTGTAGCATTGACTTTATACTGTATGACCACACACAGGTAGAATCATAGAAAAACGATACTTTGTTGCGATAATTCTTGGGGAAATGTGTGTTATTCATGTAATGTGTTTCAGATTCAAGATGCTTATAATTTTAAAGGCACCACAGGCAACAAAGAAAAAAAGTTATTTTCATCGTGTTCTAGCAAGAGGAGGGATTAGCATTCTAAAATTAGTTTAGCCACACATTCCAATGAGAACATTTTCCAGGTGTCAGTCAATCTTAAAATAATATACCTACACCCACGACCATAATATGATAGACAATATGCAATGATGTAGATACAATGTATTACTATTTAATGGGAATAGCACTCTTATGTACTGCCTTTGCATGTGCTAAGCAGTACTTAACAGATGTGTATGAATATTTGATTTGTTTCTTCCTTTATTGACCTGTCTGTTTCTGGCTCTGTGTTTCAGCTGTAACTGTGTGTGGAGCAGATGTCAGCTGCTAAGAGCAGGTAAGTCCTCCTCACCATGTGATGTGGTGGTCAACAAACAGTGATACAGTGGGAGAAAAAGTTAACTTAAAGTATGACGATCACATTTTAAATCAGTAGTCCTTTATTTAGAATGAGATTTCCTAGCACTACATGTCCACTGTGATAGTTCAGTGTGCCCTCTCTATTGTTGTCTTATATTGCTTAGTGTTCATCAGATCCATACTCATACCTTATGCACTAAAGAAGATTGGTGCACAAGACCGTCCCCTTTGCCATTTTTGCATTTACAATGACATATTCAATCCCTGCATTATTGATGAGTTGGATGAGCAAGCTCAACAGTTTAACAAGAATGTCATTTTCTAATTTGATGAGCATAAATATTGCAATGCCATATTTGGAATGGTTTCTTTCTATATCTAAACATTTATACCAACAATAGCACATTAGGTAGACGAAGAAATAAAAAGATGTGGCTGGCTGTAGTAGGTTTCCTTACCACTACATCACTGGTGAAAATGTGTGCATCCACCTGCAGAGCTCCCCTCCCCCCCAGTCCAACCTGTCATGGCTGTCCACTCGAACTCGCTGTCAGCTTGAGTTTTTCAAGTGTTGGGGAACATTCAACGCTGTCGGTGAGTTTGTGACTCAGACAAACCATCGAGTGTTGAGTGTACCCTTATACTTGAGTTCACATCTGAAACACACACTGAGACGCACCTCGGATATGTGGCAGTGCATTTCATAAAGCTTCTACAGCCAAAGTGAACTCATGCAGCTCTTCATTTTTCTCTTGCATGGTAATAACGCTGTTACACGTGACCATGGATGTACGCAGATATAAAGGAATCTGAGTACAGCGTTAGAAGCAGGGCGGGGCCTATGAAAGTTGCTCAGTGGTCCATGAAGTCAGTATATCCTGACTGCTTCTCCCAGGGATTTACCGACGATTTTCAAAATCCATCGAGCATCTTTAATCCTCTCCGTTGTATTGACTGTGTTTGCTCTGGCTGTCTATGATATGTTTACTTTAATCTTTTTGCCAAGTGCTTTTTAGAAAAACAGTTTTTGTGAACACATCCCATGTGTTTTCAAACCCTCAAGCAAGCTGTATTAGTTGGATGAACAAACTAAATGGTCTTCATCTTTATACAAAAAAACAAGGTGCTCAAGTAGACATAGCAATAGTGAAGAAATCAAGTAATAAAGACATCAATCCACAGGAACATTTTAAAGGTGGGGGTAGGTAGGTTTGAGAAACCGGCTCGAGATACACTTTTTGTTATATTCCATGGAATGCTCTTAACATCCCGATAGCAATGAATATCTTAAGTGCTTTGAAAATAAATCCATAAAAACATGTCATCTGTGGAAGCCGTGGCGCTGTAAAAAGCACGACCAATCATCTGAGCCGGGCCGGCTAAATTAACTGGATGGCCTACCTGCCTGTCAGCCTTCCATCTGTGCACAAACTTATCTCGTGCCCTCATTGGTCATGTGCGCGTTCGTGTGTGTTTGGAGGAGGGGCTCTGTAAGGAAGTGGCAGATTTCTTCCGGTTGCGTATTTTCAAAATTCTAGCGCACTCAAGTTGGTTTCTCCTAAAATTACCTACCCCACCTTTAAGTAATTAATTATTTTCTTAACTTTTCTTAAAAGGT